GTATCTAGACATAAATATGTCTAGATACATAGCAAAATGGATGAATCAAAAAAGTCAAAACGACATTTATTTTGAATAGGAGGGAGTATATATTATGTATATATTTGAAATTCAAAAACTGTATCTTTCCTAATTCCACTCAACCACCTTCCTTATTTTCAGGATTTAATTACTTTCTATGTTGTTTTTTATCTCTTTTATTTTAACGTGAAAAACGGTCCCATTATCAATGATAAATTACAACTTTTCACAGATGGTAACTGAATCTTGACATATATGCAATTATTTTAACCAGATTTTTTAGGAATGCAATATTATAACAACCTATGGTATTTTTGCAAATCTTTTATTTTCGTTAAGTATATATATATATATATATATAATTGCGCCTTTTATATTTGGGAGTGATGAGCTTTTAGTTTGGCCCAATACTAATAAAAAAATGGTCCATTATTTTGAGTTGGCTTTTTAATTTCAGGTCAATAAATTAAGTTACATACTTGAGTTTATAATTTTCTTGCCTTTATAAATTGTGACGAGCTTTTCTAATTCAACACTATTATAGATTAAAGAGTTGTAATTATTTAATCATTTAATATTAGTAATAATATCACATTGTTGAGCAATTATTTAATATTATTTAACATCACATTATCATTAATAGTAACTTATATGTATGTGTATATTATTTAATTTCCATAACATGCTAGATATAACCACACGCTGCACTCATGTGTTCGAATGTAAGATATTGAAGGAAACCAAGCTAACAAGAAAGTGTTGATTTTTAGAATAAATATAACTCATTCCGATCCTAGGGTTGCATTTAAGTTTCAGCGGCGACAGTTCTCGCTTATGGTATCGTATGTCATGATCATAAACAAGTGTCGTGGTAACACGTTGCCATGTTCATGAAGAAACATGTTTTTAGTCACGACAAATTATATGTTGTTTCGTGTGTAAAGTCACGATAAATTATATATTGTTTCGTATGTAACTAATAAAATGACTGAAAATATTAATCTATTGAAACAACGTATATAATGAAGTTTTTAATATAATATATATATTTTTGTGTGATGAACATTTTATTATTGAATAATTTCCCTACACTTTTATTTATTAATACACTTTAATTTATAATATTCTCTAAATAAATGCAACCCGTGCACGGGTTGAGCACTAGTTTTCTTAAAGGAAGCCACTTGTAAAATTTCGCCTTATAGTTTAGTTTAGAACAAGATTGTGGACAAAAACAGCCCAACTCTTCGGCCCAGTGTTACATTATTTATTTAAGGACAACTGACAAGGCATTCGTACCTTTTTATTTCAAGTACCTTCTCTGACCGCCGCTGTAGTCATAGATCTGGAATTTTCAGATCTAAAATTTTACACACACAAAATTTCAAGTACCTTATCTAACCACCGCTGTAGTCATAGATCTGGAATTTTCAGATCTAATTTTTCACACAAAAAATTTCCTCCTTCAAAAGATCTTATCTTTCGTAAGATGGAATTGAAAAATTTTAATCTTTCAATTGATAAGATCCTTTGGATGATGATCAATTTTAGCTTTCAATCGATGACGCCTTCTTTGGATTATGCAGAAGTTGAACGATTAAATGGTGCAAGGTTCTCAGGTAAGATTATTAATATAAATTTTATTTTATTTGGTAGGATTATTAATTTTTTTTTTTTTTTTGATTTTTTGTTCTTGATTTATAAATTTCTTCCAAATTTCACTTTTTCTTTTTAGTTAAAATTTAACACCTTCATTATTTTTTTTTAATCGGTAACACCTTATTTTTTTGTCTGACGAATTATACCTACCCGCACCTGCATCCTGGCGGGCCGGACCCTGGTGCGGGTCTACAAATGGCCCGACCCACCCCCTCCAATACCATGGGCTGGGTGGCCCGAGATAATTATTAAAAATAAAATAATAAAGCCCAACTTCCTACTTCCAGCCCTCCAGCCCATTGCAAGTGAAAGCCCACAAAAAAAATAATAAAGCCCAACTTCCTACTTCCAGCGCTCTAGCCCTGTAGCCCATTGCAAGTGAAAGCCCACACGACTTTCCTATTTGTTTCCCCTCTTTTTTATTTCTAAACCCTCCTCGATAGGGTTTTCGCGTAAGGGTTTTTGAATCCGCCCCCCATTTCTGCAAAATGCAAAGTGACCCTAGGTTTGCGTTCATCCATGGAGATGCATACGGATCACCTCCGCGTTTTTGGTCCCAGGTTTTCTTACATTTTTTCTTCCGATTTTTGAGTATAAACTAGAATAGGCTGTTTGTATTGGAGTGAATTTCTTCTGACTAAAGGCCGATCCTTCATTTGTGTGCAAGCATTAACAAGTGGTTGTTGTTTAACCTTTTCCCTACGAGTTTTAAATGACCCTGTGAAAGTCCTTCCAGCTTGCATTAAATGCAATGGAGTTTTATTCTTGTTCAATTTTGTTTAGTATGTTAATAATCTGTAAATTCGATAAACCTTTCAAAGCTCTTAATTGTATGTATGTAATATGGAAACTACATAATTAATAGAAGATGTTACTTGTTTATGCAATCTCTGTCAGGGAAAAGATATATGTGAATTGTGATGAATAGAAAATTAGTGGAGAATAAAAGAGCTGAGAAATAAGTTAGTCCAGAATAACCTCATGCCCTGCTGCTCTTACTGCAAATGTTAGTCCTTCATATATCTCATTGTTCATCATGCCCTGCTCCTCTGCAAATGTTAGTCCTTCATATATCTCATTCTATGTGGGGGTGTGTGTCTGTGACTGCTACACTGATTTGTTTATCTCTAAGTATCTTTGGTCATTTGTTTACTGCCAAAATATTTACCTTACATTATCAAAGTTAATATTGCCAAAATAATATATGTTTATCATTCTTAATATTTGCCAAAATAATTAGCTTGTATTATATGTTTATACTTAATCTTAGGCTCTGCCTCGCCCCCCCAATCGGCTTCACTTTACCTGCTCGGTAGTTAGAGCACACGATATAAAAATGAATGACCGTAAGTTGAAGAAGAGCAATGGTCGTGTGGGGTGGAATCACTTTGCCCCGGCAAATGAGGCAGGTAACCTAACGGTCCACAATGCATTGGACCCCGCTGCCCCAAAACGCGTGGTGACTGAGAGTTTTAATGGCTGGGAATTGTTATATATCTACCGGCAGATGGATCCGAACATGCGGCAGGATCTTCTATACTTCTTTCCGAATCTTAAAGTCTTGAATCGGAGAGGTTTGTCCCAACGAAAAAAACTCCTAGCCCATATCAAGTTTTGGGTTTATGAGTTTTTCGCACACGGGCAGCAGATGGGGTTTCTCTTCCTTCATTTCATGGATGTAATCTGGAATGCAATTACTCAATTAGACGGTATGCCATTCCCACGGTTTCTGTGGCCTGGGGCCAGCTATACTCGACAGGGTTTCCTGAGGGTGTATAGGGGTGTTTGGGACGTGGTACGCGAATTGAATCTCTATTGCATTGAGGAAGGCTTGCGTCAGGGGCAAGTCATTATGAATGAAGTTGTCTTCCTCATCGATGATTTTGGGAATCCAATCCGTTCGCGTGGTGTCCGTCTTACCGGCACTCCTAGAGGCCAAAGTTTTATCTTACCTCTGTAGTGAACTTCGGTGTTGCTGTGCCCTCTTTCCATTAGTTTGAACATCTTACTTTTGTGCAGTTGTTTCGATTTTAATCACCACTTTTTTCTGGAACTTTGTTGCTGTGCCTGTTTAGAAATTTGGAGAACTCTTATTGCTGTGGTCTGTTTGGAATGAATTTTGTGGCAGACAATGTTCTCTGTAATTTTTGGAGTAACTCTTATTGCTGTGGTCTGTTTGGATTGAATTTTGTGGCAGACAATGTTCTCTGTAATCAATTGGGGCTCAGTTTCTTTATTTTTTATTTTTCGTATTTTTTTTTATTTAAATATTTTATGGAATTTTAATTACAAAAAGAAAATACAATTAGGTTTATACTTCTTCAATTTCACTACAACATGGATATTATATTGTTCTTTAATATATTGTTATTTTATTTGTGATTTATTTTTATGCCAATCAGTTTATTAAAAATATTGTATTATCTCATTTGCGATGTGGATTGACCAATAAAAAAAAAAAATAAAACTATGAGATTTTATAACATAAAAAAAAAATAAACTATGAGATTTTATAACATTGACAATGAATATTGAATGATTTGTTAGGGCTTCATAATTTCTAGAGACGCTCTGCATCTAATCGTCCTCATATTGGATTAATTAAATCATCATAGGTCATAAAATCATGAGCTCGGTTAATCAAGTCAACACAAGTTGTTATTCTAGACAAGGCTCAGTTAATCAGGACGATTAACCCAACACAAGTAGTTATTCTAGACAAGGCTCGGTTAATCAGGACATCACAATTCTAGAGCATATTATAATCAAGTCTAATCTGATACCATGTTAATATTTATGTATTCAAGATATGTTCTGATACCACATTAGACTCATGTAATAAGGAGAAGAATGGCGAAGATACCATATTAGACTCGTGTATTAAGGGGAAGAAGTGAGGTCCCATACGGGTGAAATGCAACTTTAGAAAACCATCTCAATTGCCACTTAAATGAAAGTTCATCCCACACCAATTAGTAGTGGAAGGAAATTGCCCACACTTTTAAACAAGGTACATTTTTTCCTATTCAATAAATGTGGAACAAATTTTCAACAATATTCATACTCACCCATCCATCAACATATCTCTCTGCTTCTTAATTTCCCTAAAATTAGAGATATTATGACGAGGCTAAATAATATATAAACTAAAAATCTTAATTGCCAGCCCAATGGAAAAAATCCACTTATTAAAAAAAAATAAAAATCAATTTGATGTCCTGTTTGTAACACGAAGCACACAGCGCCAACGTGCCAAGACCCGAGCCCATTCGTCTCAAATATCTCGTGTGACCGAACGAGTTGACTGATAAATCTTCAGCTTAATTTAGCTCCGCATCTTCATCAATGGCATTGCTACCATCAATCCCCATTAATTTTCTTTCAGCAGCGATGGCAGCAGCCACAGAAGCCGGAAGATCGCGCAAACCTCGGTTAACACTCGTCTGATTTTCCGTACAACCAGCTGGCGCCACTCGGAATAAGGACTCACATCTTTTAGCGTAAGGCAAGGCTGGTGTTGGTTCTTTCTGTTCCCGCTGATAAACGAGTTTGTGTCCGGGCTCTTGTTCAGTTTATATATGCTTTCCTCAACGGTATCCTTCACCTGTTCATGAGGCATTTTATTATCGCTCATTTTTTTTGACAAATTTGTACTCTTTTCTTTGTTTGGGTCGAGCTTCATTCATTAATACCAAGTCCATGCCGAATTTTTTTACAAACTTCACAATGGGAAACAGAGCGGCACTTTATATTGCAGCCTTCAGTTTGACAAATGGTTGAACTTCCAAAAAAAAAAAAAAGAACTACTCGTGAAATCGTGATGAGTCATTTACAAGAAGCCCAGAAATTAAACAAATACCTGAGATTGATTTATTCATTAGATTTAGGAGTATTGGTCATATATGTACAAATGTAATTAAAAACCCAAATTTTCTTTTAAAGAGAAAAAAAACTTACTATAAAAACGGTGAATGAGAGTTTTATGCTCCTGCCCTATTCGGTGCACCCTGCCGACAGCTTGTGCCTCGGCTTCCGGATTCAGAAGTGGTTCGACGAGAATGACATGCTGAGCCTCCAAAAGGTTAAGCCCGTTTGCTCCATGTTGGATTAAGAGTAGCAGCACTTGGGGGAGATTTTGTAGCAACACTATTTTCAGGCTTTTAACCGTTTTCTTTGGCAGGACTCTTGTGCCCTCTAAACTGGCTGACAGCAATTTGTAATTTCCTACGGAGCGAAAAAGTAGAACTGAACCGAGACGAATTGAAACAAGACAGTGATAAATAGTTTCTAATTAACGAGCATTTTCAGGTAAAAGTTTTTCCTTCGTTTTTATCTAATGTTTTTTTTCCAGATAGTAAGCGAGTCGGTTGAATTTTGCAAGATTAACTCTTAAGGTAAACTTCATAAGTTCAATTGAGAAATGAGAAGCGAAAGTCACATGAGATCTTCCAAAAGTCAAAGTTTCAGCTTTTGAGAAAATATCAGAATAACCAAAAGCATTTTTACCTTCCGCCCTTCATCCGAACATAGCTTATGCTATTTGCAGCAAAGGCATGTTGTAACACACCAAGAACATCGTTCCAACTTGAAAACACGAGAATATTTGATTTGGGATCAGTGGAACCAATCCATAAAATTCTCCTTGTCACGGCCTCAACCTGCAAATTACAACCACATAATAAGCCAAAAAAAAAAAAAAAAACGAAAAAAAAATGATCGATAGACGTAAATTAAATGCAGGTATGGTTTGTTGTCATTAAGTTAATTGTTAATAAAGATTTATTATCTTTGTACTATATGAACCTTGGACAGTGATGGAAGCTTCAGATTTGTCGGATGTTTCACATGAATCATTTTGTCTATCGTCAGCAAGAGAATATTTCCATAATCAGTACATTGCCGGCATGTTGGGCACATTACCAACTCAGTATTATTGTGTTTTGCCAGAGGAGTCGATTTTCTCTCAGTTATTGCAAGTAAACCTGCGAGAAATTATCATCATGCATGCATTCAAATAAAAAACTTTACAAGCCACACAAGCGACTAATAACAAAGAATATGCAGCAAAGAATTGCTTTGACAATATCAAATTTAAACAAGAATATGGGAATCTCTCAACTTAAGAAAAAAAGACGCTTTCAAAGTCATTTTCTCTTTTTGGATACCAGCTGTAACACGTTAGTCTCAGTTGTAATTATTATCATTTCTTGGGTCATATTCGCTTTTTGAATACCAGAAATAGAAGAAAAAAATGAACAATCATGAGGAACTAACTCTGAACAGTTGATACTTGTTGAAAGACCAGTTTTGCATGGTGAAAACTTAAATTTACAGCATGTGAAATGTCCACATTGAAATACCATTTTCTGACTACCCAGCTTCTCTTGACAAACTGGGCATGATACTGAATCTACTCTTGTTATGCTTCCATTGGTCGAGGGCAATGTGGCTTCATTTACAGACAAGGTAATCGGGCTTTCTGATTTCGAGTGTCGATTTGATTGCGGCCCCTGGCAAAAGATATTTATGTATCAGTTTTATCATGAGTAATGATGAGTAGGATTTTTTTTTAAAAAAAAAAAGAAAAAAAAGCATATACCACAAGTCATAATTTTGTTTTTAGGGTCATAAATATGATGATGTTTGCTCGTTGGAAAATATATTAGTTTCTACCGGGAAAATATGATTTAGAGAAAAGAACATTAAATATCGTAGCAGAATAAAAAGTGGTTTTTTACCTTCAAGTAGCGAAGTTGCCCTTTTATACGTGACAATGAACCTAACTCTATAAACTTTTTGCTAGAGTTTTCAACACTAGCTATATCCAACTCTTCTGAACTTGAAGCATCAATAGATTTATCATCCTCGTTTTCTCTAAGGCGTAACCTTGACATAGCCATCATTAGTTCATCATGAGCACGGAAAACTTGTGCCTGAGCAATTGCTAAAGATCTCGCTAGAGCATACTCCTTGCGCAGGGCCTGAAAAATTTTAGAGAACTACAAACGAAAAAAATCATTAAAAATTTGAATTATCCAATCTCCAAATTTAAGCGAATATAAGTCAAAACCACTTCATGAATAGCAATCTCTCGTGCAATTTGGAAAGAGACCAGAGAAAAATATATTTACCATACCTCAAGAAGATCAAGCTGTTTTCGTGCTGTCAACATTATCTCTCTTTCAAGGATTCCCCTGGAGCTGTTTCTGATAATCGTCAACACAATCTCCAAGTCAGATGGTGACTTTGAGACCTGCTAGAATAATCATACAAATGAAAATTAGAAGAATTTGCTTTGACTAATATTCAGGTCAAATTTATCACATCCGTACACATTATGCTAATATACAAGAAGACATATGTCCAGAACAAAATTTTAACAGTGCTTTTAGATAGGTTATTTGGTTTAAAAAATATGGACCCTCAGCACATAGTGGTGCAGTTACCAAAATTGACAAAAACTATGAAATTTAAAAATCAGTAATTATACCAAAAAAAAAAAGAAAAAAATAAACAATGGCGAGCTGTAAAACTGTTCGATCAATTTACAAAGAGCCAGGACGTAATAAGCTTCGACAAAGCAGATAATGCAATAACTAACCGTCACTTTCTCCCGCGCATCCCTCTTCTTTCCATCATCTTTGTGTTCAGCAGACAAACTAGAACTTTTGTCTTCACGTGACAAATTCCAAAAGAATTGATTCAGAGCAGATTTCTTCTTTTGCAGACTCACTGCCTCTTCTACAGATGCAATCATATCACCATTATTGCTTTTGTTGAGACGAAATAGTGTAGCTTCATAAACCTAGTCGGAGCCAATTAGCAAGTTAAAAAAATGCACATGCCAAAAAGAGATTGCTAAAAGAGACGATTTATGCAAAGATAGTAAGATACAAACCTGAAACATTTCATCCAACTCACAATGCGTGCATGCAGGACCATCATAATTACAGATGCATTTTTTGCAGTATCTCTCACAAGCACAATATCCTCTTCCCTGGGATTTTCCATTGTTCGGTCTATTTCCAACAGTCGATCAAGTAGAGTTCTTCTCGACTCTTCCAGAGCATCCAAACCAGTTTGAATGTAGTATTTTAGAGTTGTTATGCTGCGGAAGCTGTTTAAAACACAAAATAATGTATATTTTGTTATTGGTAACTTATAACTGTGTGTGGCAGGTGACTGAAAAAATGAGAACAAGTGAAACATCCCTCAGTCCAAGAACATTCTCCACGGAGGCTTATAACTGTTAATGGCCGGCATTATCCATGGGTCATTTTTTTTTCCCTTATTACTGGTGAAGAAAAAGTCAAAAAGGAAACTGATAGATTTTTTATTATGAAAGAAAAATTTAAATGGTGGGTACTTGGAATTACCTCACCAACTTGAAAAATCGTGAGAGCTATAAATGCTTGTTCAAATGCAAATTTGTAACCACTTGATACACAACCCAAAAACATGAGCACAAGTGACTAATACAGAACAAACCCACGCTCCATGTAAAAACTGTTAACTTCTTAATCAATCATCACGGACCAAAAATATTCCTAACCGAAATGATATTTCAAAATGAACTAGCACTGAGGAAACAATTACGATGGGAGTACTTTGAAAGCAGAAAGCAGCCATCACTAACCAGGAAGGAAGTCTAGATCTCTTGTCCAAGTTGCTAGAAAGAGATTCTCCTATTTTCTGTATCAGGGCATTAGATGAATCCTTGTCTTGCTCAATGTGATGCAGGGCATCTAACCACCAAGTTGCCCTCTGATTTTCTCTTTCTGTCAAATAATCATGAACCTGAGAGAGAGAATCTCAGTCCAGAGAAAACTAACAACCAAATAAAATGTTAAAACTATATGCAGACAAGACGACTGACGCAATCGCAGAGAAAAAAACAATAAATGTTGCACGCAGATTAAATTTGAATAACGATAAGAGCACAAAATATATATGCATGCTTGTTCAACACTTGAGTTCCTAACTAAGTGAGTAATGTCAATCCACCTAAAACATGTCAACTTGCCTTAAATGCACCAAAATGTGCTGCATAATGAGAATCTTGAATGCTGATATAGTACCAAGTGAAGTTCAAAATGTACCATGTGATATGCAATAATGAATACAGCAAACAAATAGGAGAGGACCACAAAATGAAATATGATTATCAGGAACTGCGATTTTGAAATAGCTAGAGAAACCTGTTCATAAATTCTCCTGAACTCCGCCTGAGCAGCGAATAGCTTTGATGTCAATATAGACAAGAACTTGTGTTTTATTCACATGCCCGTTATAAGCATTGAACACAAGTCGACACATGCTGCTGAACGTTGCAACTTGAATCACCATTGCTCAACAAGCATGATGAAGAGGTAGGTGAATCACCCTTGGCAGCATGACTATCCTTTTCGTCACAAGTCCCAGAGATTAATTTCTCAATTTTGGGAACAGATTCCTGTGGCAAGATATTGTCGCTGAGTGGTAGTGCTTCAGCAAGATTATGATGAATGTGAATGTTCAACAGAGGATCCAATCTGAAATCGCCCTAGTGCCCTTCAGCCAAACCAAGTGCCTCCTTGTACAAAGATACCGCTTGAGGAAAATCTTGCTTGATTATGGCTATGCCCGCAAGTCCATTTAATGCGACGACTACTTTTCTAAGGCCATCCTCGCCTTCTACCTTGGTCTTTCCAATAAGAACCTGCAGGAATAAGATCATAATTAAAGGAAACAGCGACAACAAACTGTTGAAGCAAATGGCAGAAACAATAGTTTTCCACTCAGAGACCAACTATAAACCCACCGATAATATCTCCTCCATGGTCATGGGAGACTTCTGCAAAGTACGTAAACCAGAACTTCCTACTTGAGGATGGCAGCACGCCTGGCGAAGCTTTAAGAGGGAGTTAAACAGCTTTGCAGCATCCACAATGGTGAAATAAGGATCAAATGAGATATCGGACACGGAATCTGAGAAAGAAATTAAATGACATTATGGATACTCGAAGCGGGCAGAAATCTGTATATTGCTGAAGATTACATCTTATATGGTTTAAAGTCCACAAATCATATGGGATGATGTGAATTTATCCAGAAACCTGCTTTTTAAATTTTTCAACTACTTCTTGAGCATCATCCACACAAGTCTCATGTTGTCTCTGGTAGAAGTGCTGTTCAATGGGTGAGAGAGTGAGCCAAGAAACACCTTCTTCCTGGGGAGGAAGTTGCAGTTCATCCGAAACATGAGCCTTCGAGGAGCGCTACATAATTTTCTTAAAGAAGTTATGCGTGAAAGTCATAGCTCGTACATCTCCCCTCTGCAACATTAGGCAGGAAAGTGTGCATTATTAACTTGCCAGACTTTCCAAAGCTGTCAATCAAGAGTAAAAGGTACCTACAAGATCACAAGCTCAACCAGCATATCTGGAGGCTCAGGAGACATCAATCACACAAGCATAACTAACAATAAAAATGAGTTAAAAAGAATGATTCACTTTATTATATATTTTTTCCTACATGCTACACATAAATTCTTAGACAAACAAAATGCTAACCTCGTTTTTATTTCACTAATTCCAATGACTCAAACCACTCTGCACACCCATCACATCAGAACCACCGCTACTCTTGACCTTAACATTCAAACTGTCATGTATCTTTAAAAAACAATCTCAGCAATTACAACATTACCACTCCATCCAAATCAAATTAATATTGAAATAAGGACAAGCATAAGAGCGTATACAGTTAGACATCAACCCCTGAGCTGGCGAGTAACTGAGTGTTTCGTGAAATAAATCGGAGCAATCATTTCTACCAAGTTTACAGTAGCAAGGTTAACCAACGCTGTGAAGTTCTACAATTATGCAAGAAACTGGAAAACTGTACAATACAGTAATGTAATAATGCTCCAGCAACAACTAAAGTCACATGTACATCATATCACAAGTGAGATTCTGTCCAAATATTTATACCTAAAACTACTGAAATAATGACTAAACCACAAGTTCCAAATTCTCGTAAAAAATTAGAGCCAACGAGCAAGTACTGAACAGATCAGGGCTTCCTACATCGGCCATTACTTTTTCGAAGATATGTAGTATTCGAGATTTACAGATTGAACAAGAATCAGGACTGCAATATTTCTATACCTCATATGGATTAGAAATAACGTCAATCCACCAACTGAGGACATTGAACGGGCTTGCTTGAAGAAATCTCAGAAGCCCATAAAGGTCGTCAAGTTTCCATTGTATGGGAGTCCCTGTTATACACCAACGATGTTTTGCATGTGGACGTAGTGCCAATTCTGTTGCAGCAGCAGCATTACCCTCCACCATTTGAGCTTCATCCAAACATATTCTCCACCAAATGATTCTGGTTAGAAGAGTTGGAAACTGGGTATCTATAACATAAACCAGATTACCAGAGAAGTGTCACAATAGAGAAGACCCTAACCAATACAAATTTACACATTCTTAAGTTGTAAAAGGAATACTTAATTTTGTCAGACCTCTAAATAGTAAATACAATAAGAGGTCATCAGCAGTTCAATCTAATTAGCTAATGATGATGACTGTGTATCAAAATTTTCAAGCAAGACATTCTCCAACATACTGTGTACTTGCAACACTATAATTTCCAAAAGGAAGTGGTATTTACAGCTAATAAAGGGCTGAATCACCATAATCATCAATAAACCACTAACAACAATCCTAAGAAATAATCAAAGTCTGATCATTGAATGCTCAAGGACTAGAATTTTATGGCCATAGTCTGAGAAAAGCCCGTGGTATGATAGTTTGGGAAGAAGAGGAACAGGGAAAGAAAATCAAACGAAGAAACAAAAGGATTTTCAGATCTTATCGTCCTGAGTTCTGTAACATGTCCAGATAAATAAATGGTATCCACTGTGAACATCCTCAATGTTGTTTATTACAGCATTGAACAGTTTCCACAAATGTCAAAACTGTATGACGCATGCATAAGGAGATGATATATATCTGTATTGTATATTGTATCATGTATGTGTGTACTTTAATGAAGCATCAATAGAAGATAAGAGAAACTAAAATGTGAACAAAATAGAGAGTTCAACTTGGTCAATGAATCATGTCGGACAACATTGTTCACATATCTTGTGTAAAATTCAGTGAGTCACAACATGTTTCCACGATAACTGGATTTTCGAACGTACACTAAGCTCTTGCTATACATTCAGAGTAAATATTTTGTGGTTGAGTACAAGACAGGCTCAGCCTTTTAACTTCCAAATTATGCAAAAGCAAGGTCTATGTCAGATCAGTACATTTTCCGATATCTCATAAAGCGCCGATCCCCTTCATATTTTTTAGAATCATGCAGCAAATCCTCTTTAAGCACATCATAAGTTGTCAAGACAATATCAGCCATTAGAAGTTCTTCGATATCAATGACGGGTTCATCTGAGAAGGAAGTCTGTCGAACTCCTTAATAGGCACATATTCTTAAAGAGCAGGTCTTGTATGGCTGTTAAGACAATAAGATCTGAAATTTGAGTATAAGCAAAAAGGAATCAAAACAAGTATGACAAAAGTGGGCATAAATAAAATAATGCAAAACAATCAAAAGACATAAATAATTATTTCTCTCTCTTATGGTGTGGTGTCATTAATTCTTCAGAATTATTCATTTTACTATTGCAAGTTCCGTAGTTTCTGTACAAAACACACTCACAGTAGAAGAAAATGAGAGAGACCGTAAACAAATATTATTTCACAAAAAAATATATTCTATGATTTATTAAAAGAAGTGACCGTGTATATCCACCAAGAGGTATCTATCTACACATCTTTATCGATAGCTTTTCCTTTTCAAATAAAAATGAACATGCTTGCAAGATGTATTGTGGACTTTTTATCCATTTTTTTTTTTTTTTAAAAAAAGGAAGTTAAAATAGCCACAGCAGCTGGTGGATCACCACTCCAAGTATTCAGGAAAAGTTATATCAAGACAAAGCATATGGTGAAGTACTTTATTCAAAAGTTGAAATACGGGTTTAGGTTAAATTGTTCAACAGACAGCAAATAAATGCATGTGCAAGAAAAGCAAAAATGAGTTACCGAAGAATTTCAGCATGCCACTGGAGCAATATGAGAGTTGGACAAACAATAAGAGTTCCACCGGCAGCAATTGGAGATTCTGTTGCCTGAAACAGCTCTGAGCATGTCTGACATATATAGTCATCATTCATCTCAATCACTTCACTATTAGTCTTTCATCATTTATTCTTCTTTTATGCTCCTCACATGTCTCTCCTCCTGATTTCGGAGTCTTTCTTTCCAGAGAATACCCAACACAATCTGCATGTTGCCAAGCGTCACAAAAATCACACTGCACCCACAAACCTCCATATCTCTAGCTATCAGTTACAGATCCACATACGCACTCAACCCGCTCCCTTTTCAATCTTTTCCAATTAACTTTTTGAGTCCTCTCGACTTCCATTGGCTCGAAACCACTAGCAACTTCAGACGATGGCATCCAATGAGAAAAAACACAGCACAGCAGTTCAATAGTGTTCCCCAGGCGCATCTCATCTATTTTTATTTTTTTTTTTTTCCAGAGCAAAAACAAGAATTAGCACATTAATTTGATCTTTTTTTCCACCCAAAAAAAGAAAAAAAAAATCAATGTAAGACAACACCGGAATGAATCATTGTTTAATTTTTGTAGAAAAGTTATACTCTTTATATTATAACCACAAACGGCAGAAAAATGTTTCTCAATATTATGTGTGGGTGTTTGTGTGTGTGTTATTACAGTAACTCATCAACAGTGCAAACAACTCTTTACAAGCAGTGTACACATTTTCTACTCCGAAGACGTGAAAATACAAATCCAGAAGTACCTTATGACCGACGAAGCATGACCTAATTGTGGTAACAGTAGTTGAGAAAGTTCACATACCAGCTAGAATTCCACCAGGAACATATGAGGAACAATGAGCAGCATGCAGTGAAATGTTCCCACTGAAGCATAATAAAACATTCATTAACAGATATACTCTTTTGTTAATTGGATTCCGCAGACGAGACAAAAAAAAAGGGGATATGAACATAAATATCAATTCCCTGATACATTTTAACGATCACCTTTTTCCTATCATCTTTTTGTGAATATTCTTTCTACGACCGCTTGAACTACAACAAATTAGTATTCTTTATACTCTCACAATCACTGGTGTGCAAATATTCAAGCAACCAAAGTTATGATAATAATGCAGAAGTCTGCAGTGGGTTAGACTGAATCACTGGATGAAAATCAACAATATTTTCTTAATTTCACAAATAAAATAAGAATATGGAAGCAGCACTACCCCTAAACATAGAAATGCTTGCCGAATCACTTTCTTGCTTTAAAGAGGCATACTCAGACAGAGAAGCAAGGAAAGCATGCAACATCTAAAACTAAATTGTAAGAGTACGACATAGAATCTGCCAATATACACCTATTGATGGGAAAAAAACCCCAGCACATTTTTGCACCAAAACCTTACATAGGTTCACATCTTTGATCATTAGAAATGTATGTTCCTCATAAATCAGAAGTTCAAAAAAAATGAAGAAACTCTTTTCATGTAAAAATGAAGATACATGAAAATGTGATTAGAAAAAAGTGAAGGTATACCTAAAAGGGTTGTAATAAATTCTCCCGGAGGTGTTGATCAGATTTAGAGGCACACATAAAGGAGACACAGCCCAACTTGTATCATTCCCATCTAAATGTTCAAAATCACATCTCTCTCATTTTATCATCCATACGCCGCTCGACGCTGGTAAGGCCGCAGTTCAGGAAGCAAGGCAGGAAGGTGATCTTCCAGCATTGGCTCCTCCCTGTTGTAGAAAACAATCAAATGAGTCCCACTACAGACATACTACAAAAGATAAAGCTAAAAACATCAATAAAGGAAAGTCAACTTCTCTTTAATACTCACTTTGACGGCTTAATAGCTTCATAAAAGCTGGAACCTCAAACCTAATTTGTTTTATTGAAGCAGAAGATTCATCATCAGCAACAAGAGGTGTTTCAATATCCATATTTCCTACAACATCATATCCATATCTAAATTCCGAGGCCATAACTTCCAGACAGAGCCAAGAAATAACACTCATCATTCTTCTTTTCCATAGCTGCCTTGTATTTTCAAGAAGGGACCCGCACTTATCAAATGCACGTTCCAGAATCTCAATTCTGACACGTATGGATGACATGTCCTCTAAAGCCTTATTATCCAAGACTGGCCTAACGGACAAGTACTTCAAGCTAGCCAGGAAAAAGAGTCCTGTGGCTCCTTCATCCGGCCCGTCCACTGTCCCAGACACCATCAAAACATCCCCTTGGGATCCCTCTACTTCACATTTCATCACAAACTCCAAACAAGTATTGCTCTCGGTCAAAACTGGCCAGTGTCCCAATGCTCGTTCACATTGCTTAACCTGAACCTTAAGCAGAACCTTGCATCCCTTTGAAACTCCTCGGCCAGTTTATAGCCGGAAAATTCCTCACTCACCCTCAAATTCAGCAAAAAAACTTCCGATATGTCATGGTGCTCCTCGGAAACCCAGCTGGACTTATCGATTTCAACAAAAAATGTTCCTCAACATTGACTGACTCGATCTTTTCTTGTTGGGCCATCACTATCTCCATCGATTTCCGATTCTGGTGTTGGCTTCTAATACTCCCCCAGACCTGTGTGGCTGAATTTTCTTCCTTCTACCCATTACTACAACAAAAAACAAATTTACAATAAGTTGCGCGGACAGATACGAGAACAGAGACATGAAATAACTAACTTAAACGCAGAAAAAAAAAAATGCAATCTTCTGATCCTAAGGCGTGCAAAAAAAAAAAAAAAGCAAAAAACTCAGGTTCATCAATGAATTTTTGAAGAATTACATGGTTATCAGCTCTTACGCAGATGTAACTGCGAGCAAGTCACATATTCAAATGCGCACGCGAGCAAAAACAGTATTTTTATTTTCTTCTTTCATAGAGTTTGAACTGAAACCTGGGAATTTTCCTCAAACCTCCCTTTTTTTTTTCCTGTACATATATTTGACTGAATTTGTTTTAATAATGAATATTATATTTAATGGACTTATTATATATGTAACAAATGTAAAAGTGCAGGGAAAATATCCAAAACTCCATTTTTCATTTCAGGTAAAATTCTTAGCTCAAAAATACATGGGTAGGCTACATATATACCCGATCCAATATCCAAACCCTTAAAGTGCACCAAAACGACATAGTTTTGGTCACCAACTAATAAACCCAAGCAAACGACACCGTTTGCCAC